ATTCCAATTTTTCTATAATAAAGATTAATTTTTGTAAGAAATCATCTTTTTCTTGAATTTTTGTCACCTCAGAAATATATTTCAATCATCCTTATTTTCAATCATCCAAATAATTATACTTTTTTAAATCAGTATATAGAACTTTTTGTTGGTTGAATATGACGACTTGTTGCGTAAGCCAAAAAAACTTTCCGTTCAAGCTAAAGGCAATGTAAATATATGTATTTATGTAGAAACATAAAATATTTTTAACCCTCCGTTTGCATTATGTTTTTTACTAACGCCATTTGCACGGTGACCCCTTTAAGTCCTGTAACATTTTTTTGTTAAACTCATCTAAAAAATCTGAAAAAATTCTGGGATACTCTAGAGAGATTATATTTTATGTTCCAATAGTTACTTTAGTCATTTATTAACAATTTTTTGCAATAACAATTTAAATTTGCCGAAATCGACAAAAAATGTAATTTCGTAAAAAAAATTCATAACTTAACAACATATTAAAATTAACAAAAATATTTTCAGGTTTTTTTAGATGAAACTATTTTCTTAAAAAAAAAAGTTCTATATACTGATTTAAAAAAGTATAATTATTTGGATGATTGAAAATAAGGATGATTGAAATATATTTCTGAGGTGACAAAAATTCAAGAAAAAGATGATTTCTTACAAAAATTAATCTTTATTATAGGAAAATTGGCGGAAATAATTACAAAATGTCATGACAAAATAAAGTGAAATTGCTTCGTCGTTTAAGCCTAGTATAACTCAGAACAAAAAGATCTCAGTTGGAACAAGAAAGGAAGCATGTGTTTTCTCTTGACGTCGGGTGCTGTCAAATCGATTTTTTTTCGAATTTTCGGAGAACGGATGACGCTACGAGTCTCATACTCTAAAACTATAATTCTTAAGCCTAGCACAACTCAGAACAAAAAGATCTCGGTTGGAACAAGAAAGGAAGCATGTGTTTACTCTTGACGTCAAGTACTGTCAAATCGATTTTTTTACGAATTTTCGGAGAACAAATGATTTTATGAGTCTCATACTCTAGAACTATAATTCTTAAGTCTAGAACATCTCAGAACAAAAAGATCTCGGTTGGAACAAGAAAGATAGTATAAGTTTACTCTTGGTCCGATAGACTGTCAAAAAACTTTTTTTTAATTTTTCGGGCTTATAATTAAACTTATTGATTTATGCTTTTGGAACAATGTTTGGAACAACTAGAACAATCTATATCGGTTTCGGAATGCTTTATTTTCAAAAAATGGGGTGCCAGGTCAAAAACATTTTTTGGACTTATAATTCAACTTACGGATCTATCCTTTTGGAACAATGTTTGGAACAACTAGAACAATCTATTGCGATATCAGAATGTTCGATTTTCGAAAAGTGTAGTGCCAGCTCAAAAAATCATTTTTTTTTGTTTTATTCGAAAACCGTTTCGAATGAAGCAATATCACTTTGGAACAATGTGGTACAAAGTCAGAA